TTTTATAATTTAGTATATATGGAAGAACATTTAGCGAACATTGACAGTAGTTTAGAGTTGTTGTTTCCAAGATTAGAAAAAGTGTTGGAGCAAAATGAAAACATACTGAACATCTTAAAGAGCATGAATATTAAACCTACATATAATAACAATAACAATTACCAAGCAAAAGAAGTAGATAGAGACAGTAGCGAATACAAAAATAAACGAAACATTTATGTTAAAAAACTGAATGAAAAAAATCATAAAAGAACCTAAACAATCAAGTCTGGATTACTATCAAGTCAAGTATAAAGAAGATACCAAGAAATACGTTTAATCATTAACTAACAAAATTTCGTGTCTCAAAAGCGGTTTGTTTATTCCTGCTACTTTGTAAGTTTTATTACCCATAATATCATATTCAATTTTATCAATATTGAATATTTTATTAGACCATTTAGAGTTATACTCCTTTCTGTCGGTGTAATTACCCCTTTTCTTTTGGAACACTTTTACCTTGTCGTTCTCCTCTATTTTGGGATACTTTCTTTTGTTTTTTTCTCGTAGTTTAAGATTGACCTTTACATTTATTTCATTGTCGTCCTTGTGTGCTTCAGACGGTGTCATCCTTGTTGATGAGTGCGATGTGCTGTTATACTGTTTCAATGCTGGCGTTAGGGCATCGGTCCATTTCATGTTGTTAAACCTAACTCTATCGTGAGTTTTGTTTTTCATCGTTCTAATAAAACGCTCGGCTACATTTGCGTGGGTCTTCGTGACGATGTGGTTTATTCCTTCACTGTTGAAGAAATCCTGAACTTGATTTTTAGTTGCAAACGCTCCATCGTCATCAGAATACACGGACATCGGATAACCCATCTTTTTAAAGCTTGCTCTCAACGCCTTCAAAACGTGCTCTCCGTCTCTTTCCTCCATCGGTATTACATCTGCTAATTTACTGAAGATGTCAATCACGACTAAAGCATACTGTGGAACGTTCTTGTCTTTTGCTAAAGGTGACATATGCATTATGTCTATTTTCATATTCATATCGTGCGAATGGAGCGGTATAGGAATTAGTACCTCTATAATTTTTGATTTGTTTATTTGGTTGTTTCTTTAAGAAAGACTTTACATCGTCTAATGTTATTGTTGGGTCTTCTTCCTTTGCCTTCTTGTGTGTCGCTTGTGTGCTTCCGAAACCCTCGTCTAAGTCGTAATAGATGTTGCTGATTATTTGGTCTTTTGTTAATCTCGCCATTATATTAAATTGTTAGAAAAAATATCAACATAAACCCCGCCCCTTAACATAAAATAAAACTACTTAAAGAAAAATTGCCTATATATTAAGAGGATGCTATTTGAATATAAACACTGTAGATGTTGTAAGAAAGAAATGACAAATGTTAAGGTTTTGTTAAACAACATGTTTCCCGCTGGGATTTGCGAAATGATATGTGATTATAACCTCTGCTGTTCAAAGTGTTTAGACTTACACCGGAAGGAAGCGGAGTTTTTAAAGAAGAACATTGTAGCAAAAATACTAACACGACCAGAGCAACAAATACTTTTCTTCAAAGAGTGTATGAACCCGCCTATTTTCTTATCAAAAACAAATAAAACAAACCTTCGTGTTTTCAAGAGAGAACTTGACCAAGTGTTAGACAATGAAGAAATCAAACAAGAGTTTAAGAAAAATAAAATGTTTATTAATGCTGTTAAGTCTTTTGCAAAGAGATGCTGGAAACACACCCACCACATCTTAGAACACTACCACTGGTTTGTTGACATGAAACAAAGACAAGAGTTGAGGTGTTGGTGGATGGTTGATTGGTTTATGAGTGGCAATGACCGCACTTTTCTTTTTAGAAACAAAGAGTTTAAGCTAAAGCATATCATAGAAAGACTGTTAAGTGAATACACTAAAGCATTAATCAGTGAATATAAAGAATACTGCGATGAAGACGGAATAAGAGAACACATAACAAGAGTAATCAATATATAGTTTAATTGTAATATTATTAAAGTTTGTTTTATATATTAATAGACAGGTTGAGTGGTTGAATATAAACCTAAAACCCAGTTTCTCCAACTGGCAACCCCCACCAAAAAACTACTTAAAGAGAAAATACCTTATATATGAAGAGAAAAATGAGTGAGGGTAAAATGTCAGAGAATAATTTTATGGTTGAGAATTGTGCTAGCTTACCTATGGAAGCATTGTTAAACATCGCTTCTTATATGTTTGGCAATGAAGGGTGGCAAAGACTAAAACAGTGTAAAGCATTAAGGGTCTTACAAAGGAAATGGAAACCGTCTATTTTTGAACGAGAAGGAGAAAGTAGATATTATGTGTTGATTAGCAATATATGTTTGAAAGGTGATAAAGCACTTTCATATGCGTTGAAACCACCAAAAGAATTATTAAGAATGATGAAGTATGATGAAGAAATAAAGGTTGGAATAGAATTTAGTTCGAAAATTATGTATAATAATAATATTTGCAACTGTAGTTATTATGCATCAAGCAAACAGAACAAGATAATAAGTAGAGCGTCATTACAATTTTATATTGAAAAAATAGTTGAAGAAATAAAACAGACTATGAAACGAAACGAAATCATTACTATAGAACATATTACATTTGAAATTTATACATAACAGAAACAATGATTTCATGGCTTAATCATAATATGTAATTATAATATGATTAAACATTGTTTTATAATCTAACAAGAAGGTTAAGACATTCAAATTAAACCTGAAACCCCCTAGCCAAAACTACTTAAAGAAATGTTACCTTATATATTAAGAGGAAAATGAACAGTGATAAAATGAATAATTATATCAATAAAAAATGCTATGATTGTTGTCACTTCAAAAAAGAAAATATGGAATTGTATAAATTAAATTTACCTAATGAAATAGTGAATAATATTATTAATTATTCAATGGATGAAGAAGACGAATGTAAAATTTGTCAGGAATGGAAACATAATCAAGTTTAATCAAATGTCTGTTGAGAATAAAAGGGAGACATAATAGAAATGTAGAAGATGAGATTTTGATATTTCTAACTGTAAATAAAATACCACCTTATGATTATGTTAAACAGTTTCTTAAAATCAGTAAGAAAAATATGACATGATTTATGATATATTATGGATGTTGGGTTATAGTCAAGAGAAAGGAGAAGATGTTAAAGAACATATCAAATTGTTTATTGAAAGTAAAAAGTTTAATGTTCAGAATACAGTGAGAGATGTTAATATTATCTTTAAAATGATGTATGAAAGAAGTAATATTTGTCAATTAAATTATTATCCTGAACTGAAATTATAATCATAATATAATAATAACATGTAAAATCTTATATGTTATAATTATACTGAACTTTTAACCTATAAATGAAAATTAGTGAGAAAACACTAACAAAACAAATACACCACCAACACCTCAGAACTTGATAACTACTAAAAGGGCCAACTCTTTCAAATGAAAAACATGTCGGCCCCCAGCCCAGCAATGAACAAGGCGACAATTTACCCAAATGATTACCTTAACGAAAACGATATATAAGCTCCCCGAAACACCCCTTTTAAAAACGAATAAGGGGGAACACAGATTTGAGATTAACATAAAAACCAGAACAGACAACCATCAACAGGCCACCCCCTGGCTAGCCCCTTTTCTCCATTTTTCCCCCCCCTACCCCCCACCCCCCAAACACACCAAACCGACACTAAACCACCTCTAAGCTATTTTGAACCTGCTCTAAATAAGCCCTCCTAACACAACCATAAACAAGCCTGGAACCCACGCCAACCTTGAACCCATCCTAAACGCAGCCTAACAAAAACCTTGCGGAAAAAAAGGGTCCGTTTTTTGTTGTTGGGATTTTTCCTGTTTTGTTTTGGGAATTGTTTCCGGATTTGCTGTCTTGGAACTGGCAGGTGCGATCTCCCTTGGTTCTGCTGTGTGGTTTTGACTCGCTTTGCACCAGCGCTCGTTTGAAAGCAGCATCCTTTTCAGCATCCTCAGCATCATGAGTTGGCTTTGACAGGATTACCTTTTACCCCACGTGGGTGTGCTAGCATGTTGCCCCTGTGAGTGTGCTAGTGTGCTATTTTGGTGTTTTTGCGTGCAGCGAGCGAACCATTATGTAGCTTCGACTTCCAGCATGCTGTAGCGACACTGTTCTTGTTTTGTAAGCTTCAGAGACAGCCGGGGCGAGGATTAATTCCAAAATGCAGCCAGAAATGTTTTGCAAGTGCTCTGCCATACTGTGAGTCATTTTCTTTCTTGAGGGCAATCACATTTTCCGGCGGATGGACACAGGTCCTCGTATCATTATGTTCCATATTGTTTGGGTTTCAACACCTTCTGGGCCGTGCTATGAGCATCCTTTTGGGGTGTTGTTCAAAGGGGGCATGCAAGGAACGAGCTTTGTTAGGGAGAGTCGGTTTTCACAGGAGGCGGCTGGAGCCCTGAGGAAATGGCGTTGCTGTTGCAGTCGGACATTGCACTTACTTGGGACTGCAGACCTTTCAACACCACTCTGTGGAAACTCACATGAGGATTGTTACTACACGTTGGCAAAGGGAACTGGGGATCGGCCATCCTCCAGAAGGGGCGCACGGTAGGACGCTACTTCTGGCCCTTTTAACCCTTTTAAGGGTACAACTATACTGTTATACTCATATGGCTTTTCCCGTTTACTTGTCGCCTGCGATGCTGGCACCCTTGGCGAATGCAATGCAGATGGGCTTACGTAGTTCTTACCTGCAAATGCTAGGCTTCCAAATGACACTTTTTCAACCGCACGGAAACCACAAGATGCACTGTCTTCACTCACTAATTCCTTTTGTGAAAGGAAAGCGCAAGGGGGAACTGTGCAAGTTCATGTTTTTGTGCAAAGGAAACAAGGATTAGTTTCCATGGTGCGATTCTGCCCCCGGACACCCCCCATGGGGATTCCCTTGCTTGGGACACGGGTCCGACGGTCCTTCCGGGCCCAGGCTCCAGCTCCAGGCGGGTGCACGCGCCGAGCGCTCCCTTGTGATTAGTTGAATGCATTTCGTACATTTCGCACGCGCCATACACTTCGTACATTTCGTACATTTCGTACATTTCGTACATTTCGTACATTTCGTACATTTAACATGTAGCTGCATTCGTCTTTCGCGTTTCTTTTTTCTTGTGGCTTTTGTTTTCGTCTTTGTGACTAAACTGGCCAGCCAAAAGTTGCGCTTCGTGAGCAAGTGTCACGGCCCTTGGGATCCTACGCGACGAGACCTGCGGACACTGAGAAGCTCATGATCAGTGCTCTGTTTTTACTTCGACAAATCAAAAAGGACCGTCTTAAGACGGTCCCACACTTGTGACATGGCTTGTACTTGTTAGTAAGTTGACACGATCCGCGGTTGATCCGCGGTTGATCTGCCGGTATCTAATGAACTGAGGTAGTATAGTTAAACGCTATTGTTATGATGGTTGCTTCTTTTATGCCAACTCAAGGTGCTATTCATAAATGGGTCCGATCTTCTCACTGCAAATTGCGCCTAGTACAAAAGTACATTGACTTCTAACACCTCCCTTGTTTATGCTCATGGCGACGCCAACGAAGCGACGTAATTCTTCAAATTTTCCTGTTTTTTCATTCTTCAGGAGCTAACTTGCGCTGCGCCGCTGTACAACAACCTGTGCCGGTGGGGGTGCGGGGGTTTGGGGGAGGGGGGGGCGTAGCTCCCTGGCTGGATCTACTCTGATGCAGAAGGTAAAATCTGTATTGAAGAGGTAAACGACCAAATGTAGAGTAAGCAGTGTTTGGTTCCAAGTCTAAACTGTACCAAAGTCAGCAAATTTGAGCCAGGAAATGGCAATGAGGTTGCTGCATGAGTGGATGCTGTGAATCAAGCGCAGAACAAACGAGAAACAAAACAGACAGAAATTTCTCTCCCGGAGACGCGCGATACGAAGCTGGTCAAGTGGTTCTGTCCAGGCCTCGTTGAAACATTTCACGATTTCTGCAATGGCAACGTGCAGGGCGGATACCTCAGGGTGCGATACCAGTTGGTTCTTGCCAAGCCTGTTGCGCGCTGAGTTCGAGTCGCCACTGATTACACCAACCGTGTGTTTTCACACCGCCATCCAGGTATAGGATTCTTCAATCGTGGAAAACCTGTGCGTTCTGGACCCTTTGATCTTGCTAGGAAGCTCCCGTTTTGGACCATTGCCGGAGGTGCTGATGATGACATCGCGGAATATCTTGCCGACTGTTTGGCCCTTTCGAGTTTGAGTCGTAGGAAGTGGCTCTCCTGCTCTGGGCCTGTTCAGTGGAACCTTTGTATCTTCTGAATCTGATTCCAGTCCATACCAAACTCTGGTTATGCTCCAGACATGGCTGGTCAGCACAGAACGGTTGATAGGTTCTGGCGGTTTCATCTACAAAGCAACCGATGGCCTTGCATCCTCCCTGTGTCCGTGCAATACCTGTGTATCCGGCTTGAAGAAGGATATCTTGGACCATGGGACAAAGAATGCCGTCGCATTCTTGAAGACAAAGTACATGTCCAGGGATATTTCGGATCATACCAAGAGCGATGGAGTCTTCAAGCTCGCCCTTCTTCTTGTTTCCTGGATATACTGGTGGTCGTTCTAGTTCCTGAGGTTTAGGGTCAGGATGTTCAGTCGCGGTGTACTGGTCTGAGTCTGTGCCATTCTGTCATTGGTTGTGATTTTTTTGTCTTTGTGGACTGCAATACGTACTTGCGAAGCTCCAGATACGCCTTTCTCTTCTCAGGAGAAGCATGAGATGTGAGATCTTTGACGCCGCTTGGGATTCTGATCGGATAACCGCATTCAGGTTGTTGTTGTGTGATGGAGGCAATACTGGCGAGCTGGAGATGGGTGAACCCGGTAGGAAGAAGTTCAGCAAGTCAGAGCCATCGTGAACAAGAGCAGACCCACTACGGCCAGATCCACAAGAAGACAACTCCTTCGATGCTTGCAGGACTACAACAATAGAGAACGAGTTGTCCGAAAATGTAAATGGAATAGACTACAACTATTTCGATCGGGCTGGGATGGCCAAACGACTTCATGAACGTGGAACTCATGACAAGCTTACGGAATCAGGAGCCAAACCGGACAAGAAGAACGCCTGGTTTATCCAATGTTTGCACCGCCATGGTTCCAATATTGTTGTTTACTGTGGCCCCAGTTGTAGCCCCAGCTGGGCTCCTTCCAGTTGCCGGGAGGCTTGTCCGTTTTGGAGTCATTCTGCGTATCCTTTGATGAGGTTGCCGGCTTCTGGTTCGGGTAGGCCTTCCGTGGAGGATCTGCTGGTTCTGGAGTTCCATGTCTCTTTGATTCTCTTTCTTGTTCTTCCTGGCAGACTCGATTGCAAAATGCTGAATACAGTTCCAGGAGATTGGTTGTTCTGCAGCACATCTCGTGCGCGTCTTTTCCGTATCTCCCTGATTTTGCAAGCGTCATGACCCGACTTGGATCGAAGATTACGTCCATTGCTTTTCCCGCTTCGCACGCCGAAGCCTTCTTAGCTACAAAGAACCATTCCGGACCTCGGGTCACAATGTCCCGACGAGCGATGAGACATTCAATGAAACAGAGTGTCAGGCAAGCGTATTTGCCCATGTCACCACCGCGGCCGGAATAGAAGGAATCCTCAAGGACGGATACGTGATTCCGGGAAACTTTTGAGAGAAGGGCAGAACCCATAAGCGCTTCGTCGGCGTGACAGATTATATCCTTTCCGGAAATATTTGAGATTTCCATTTCCATGAACTACAATAATATCTTCCTCGCATTCCGCTTTTCCTATACAGATTCGACGGAAGACGATCATGTACATCGGCATAGACAAGTCAAGGGGTTGTCTGTGATGAACTCAGTTTCGGTGGATCTCGATCTCTGGTGCATCTTCTCGCTTAGCTCGTTCGGTGTATTGCGTCATGGTGCAAGGTATACCTGTTGGGCTTCTCTGTCCTAATCGAACCTTGAGGAAGGTTCCTGTCTCTTATCCATCTTTCGGATTCTCGTGGTGGAGGTCCAGGAGGATCACCTCGGTATGTGATTGCGCACCGGTTCTCGGAAATGTCAAAAATGAATTCTTTCAGGAGCAGTCCGTTTGTGCCGCGGTGCCGCAATATGAGCGGATCTTCAGAACCCCCTGTAGGTGGTGTCCAATCGGATACTTCCATCTTGTTCTCTTTCAAAGCGAGGTGCACGCTTGCTATTCGGTTCTGGCGTGTGTCGCAGGACTGCGGTTATGGTTCTGGATATCTCTTCTTGGAGGAGTAGTATCAACTGGGCAGGTGCCCACATGGTTTTCTCATTGGCCTTGAGGAGTTTAGCCAATGCCTTTACATTATGATGTGTCATCTCTCAAGCGCATCATGATGTCGTTGCTGGACTTCACGTATCGGGCATATCCCTTCAGGTAGTCGTATCTGTCTCCAGCATGCTCCCAGATCTTGAAGATTGCAAACCATGGACACTATGTTCCTCGACGTTGTAGTCACGCTGGTTCTGTGGAAGATATTGAAACATCGGTCGGGCTTGAACTATGAAATGACATTTTTGTAGAACCAGGAGACTGCAGTAATGAATGAATCTGCAAATGTTGCAAATGGATGTGCTCGTGGAAGCTGATTCGGTGGAAGTTCTTCTGGTTCTTTCACCCTGTATGGCTGGCTTATCTCCGAATGATTCATCGCCTCCAAAATCTGGATCTTCATCATCTGGTTCATCCGTGGGGCGCAGAGATTCTTGAGGTCGTGTTCCTCTTCTTCAGTCTCGGAATCTCTCGGTGGCAGTTTCGTAGGATCTTCATGCTGCTCTTCCAGGGTCTGATTCAAGCTTCGCCTTCTTAAGAGAAGCTGCTGTCTCTTCTGGATCTTTCATATCCTCGTCCTCCTCGATGGCTGACTTCTCTTTTTCCGACTTGACTGATTCCATCGCAGGATCGGATCTGGAGGTCTTCTGCCTGCCTGCACCCTTAGTCTTCCGAAACTACGCCACATCGCGAGGGGTTGTAACGCGCAAAGGTCAAGCTCACTTGAAAGTAAACGGCTGTGCGAGCAGACGCAAAAGGTTGCAACTGAGTCAAAGCGGTTCACGGTTGTTCGTGGAAATCCTCGATGGAGATCCGCTTTGGTGAACGCCAGAAACGGTGTACTTCGTATGATATAATCTCTGCCAAGAAGGTGCAAACCTAAGGACCAACATGAGTATTGTAGGCCAACCATTCAACCAGAAACGCCCTGTTCTGAATCGTTGTCCTGAAAGGTGGGTGCAAGAGATGTTCGTCAAACAACCTGCAAGACAGTATTCTGAACGTACATGGGCAAGGTCTCGCAATGGCCGCTGTTATTCTATTTGGATAAGGGGCGTGGTTTCCTTCTGTTCAGGTTGATGCGTTGTTGATGCAGCGGGCGCTAGATTATTCGCATTAATGTGAATATGGACATCTGTCTGATCAGAGTCCGACACTTGCCGAAGCATCGCGCCAGTCCGTGCAACTCTGCCACAGGTAGCTGCCGTGATCTTATGAGTTTTGTAATCAATATGGGATCTTCTGGAACTCGGCGAATCTTTCTTGAGATCCGATCTTGTGCAAGGAAAATCGCGTGTGCGCGTTGCGATGATTTGTCACCACTATTTCTATGAGACGCATCGGGTTATCCGACTAATCTGGTTGTGCTCTTAAGAGGCGAGAAACTCGCGCTAAGAGGTATACTCTTCATGGTTCTGACGGTCTTATGTACGGCTCTCGCATCACCAGTCGTGATGAAGCCTTCGACGCACATCATGAAAATTGGTACGCCCTGATCAGGCTGATCCGGTGGACCTGTCTGATCGTCGATCGGCGTAGGCCGACCGACGTTGGTGGTTCCTTGAATGACATGCGGTTCTGTGAGAACACTAGCGCGTGCCGCTGTGTTGGATTCTAGTCGTTCCAGTCACATCTGTGTGCCGGCAAAACCCAGAGCTTGCCCGGTGTGTTAGCT